TTCCCTGTCATGCTTCTGCACTAGTTTTGGGTCATGCAAAAACACTCTCCTTTCTCCTCATGGGGTGCTTCTGATGGAATATGCACTGTACATCACCGTAATCTGTCATGCAGTTTTGTGCCTGATTTAATGACTGTTAGAATGCTGCATTTTTCTCTTTGCAAGATGTATTTGATTGCGTATACCTGACTTTGAAGCACTGTATTTTCTTTGTGATGGATTTATTCAGCTGTATCTGGGGTGAAACGATAGAAGCCCTTGCTTTGCTTAAATGATTTCTTATATTCATACTGCTAAATTTGAATTTAAAATATTGTGATGAAATAAAAAGTATAATAAAAAAATGACTTTTGTAAGTTCCTAGAGAAAATGCTTCTTCTGCTCATCCAAAAGTCAAATGTTTACGTTCACTAGAAAATAAACATTACTATTTACATTTGAAGTGCAAAGGAACACATATGATGGTTTGGGTTTGCCTCCTAGTGGAAATAATAGTAAATGTCACACAACAAAATCACTTCTGTAGATGAAACAAGAGAAAATTACCTCCATCTACAGATACTGATTTCATACTTTTACTCCATTCCTCAACTAATGGAACAAAATTTAACAAAAAAAAAAAAAATCTATAAAAATCGAATTAGGTAAACGGCATAACCTTTTGCTACTCTAAACTACAGGTACCAGATTCATTCTCTTAAGTCCTATGTATTCATCCTGTTCCATAAAATTAAACACATCTAAGTTCCTTTTTTTTCAGTCCGTAGTTCATTAGCATCTCAAAGTCTCTACAATAGGAACAGATTTAAAATGTGCAAAACAATAAACTAGCTGTTGTACATACATCAAAGTTTTAAATTTTATGCCTCCATAGTTCAGGCCAAAGAGAATTACATGTATAACTGCTGTAGTTTAACCCCAGCTGGCAACTAAGCACCACACAGCTGCTCACTCACTCGTCCCCTGGTGGGATGGGGGAGAGAATTGGAAGGGTAAAAGTAAGAAAACTTATGGATTTAGATAAGAACAGTTTAAGAACTTAATAATAATAATAATATTAGTAATAATTGTAACGAAAAGGAAAATAACAAAAAGAGAGAGAAATTAAAGCCAAGAAAAACAAGTGACGCAAATGAAAAACTATTGCTCACTGCCAACCAACCAAGGCCCAGCCCATTCCTGAGCAGCAGCCCCCCAGCCAGCTTTCCCCCTAGTTTATATGCTGAGCATGACATCATATGGTAGGGAATACTCCTTTGGTCATTGGGGTCAGCTGTCCTGGCTGTGTCCCCTCCCAGCTTCTTGTGCACTCCCCACCTCCTCACTGTCAGGGCAGTATGAGAAGCTGAAAAGTCCTTGATTTAGCATAAGTACTGCTCAGCAACAACTAAAACATCAGTGTGTTATCAACATTATTCTCATCCTAAATCCAAAACACAGTACTATATCAGTTAGTAGGGAGAAAATTAATTCAATAACATATGAGGGGAAAGTTTCACTTGTGAACTGCCTTCCTCATCAATATAATGAAAATAGGATGAGTTCAACCTGTCAAAATCAGTCTATTTGTGTCCAAACATGCCCATCAAGCTTTCCTCCTAACTGTTGGAATTTATTCCCATGGAAGCTGACTTGTGTAACAGCTTTGCACTGGTATCATAGTATACGTGTTTCATAAAGTTGCGCACACTTCTACCCCCTAGGTCAATCAGCAAACCAATTCAATCATCAACTATATTAATTTATGAGTTTAACCAACCATACAGGTTCCAATGTATCACACCGGGGGCAGGTGTAGCTCTGTTATGCAAAAGATGAAGAGAAGCACAAAGTTCAAGGGAGAAAGGTATACTACAGGGAAACAGTAAAATCGGGCAATTAGCAAGAAGTTCTGTGTTTCAGACAGAAAAAAACCTAGATGATACAATCAGTCTTTGGAAATCAGCTAATGGCACAGTCAGGAAGACTGTTTCATACAGTGGAAGCAGACTTCAAGAAAGATTTGGTATGAGCTGTGGAGAGACAAGGAGAACACAAGGAAGTTATTGGAAAAGCATGGAGAAAGGCAGGAGAGTCAGTCATGTTAAAATCAAAGAGATGACATGGGGAGGTCAAATCTGAGAAGTATTTTGAAAATGGGATTTCCGTAGAAGACAAATAACTAGTGGAGACCCTAGGGATTGGCAAAGCATTCTTCTTTCTACTTACAGCAAGAAAAATATCCACCAGCATCTGGACAATGCAAAAATCAGAGACTTAGTATTTACGGAGTCCTCAGAAGAGGGCATAGACAATATCAATCAACCCTCCTTGGGCAACAGAAAGAAATAAATTTTGCAAGAAGTGAGCTGCCTTAATGGAAAGCCCAGGTTTCTATCTCATTAGAGATAAGATAACAAACTGATGAAGTTCATTTAATCAGCAAAAAGAATGCCAATCTTACCTTGCACTGAAGGAAACTAGAATTAGGACAAAATGCACATGAAGAATGCAGAAAGTGAAAGCCATCAACTCATCTATTATCCATACAAAAGGGGGTAGTCAATGTCAGCTTCATATATCGGAGTGAGACAGATAAAAAGCAAGCTTCAATTCACCAAAGAGCAACACAGAAATCAAGTACAGATGAGAAGGCTGGATCATTTTATTTTAGACATAAGCTTCCATAAGCAGGCACTAACTCAGAAAATGACCCAGTATGCTCCTAGTCATTAGGGCTAACCCTCTCTGTGTGAAGCGCTCACCTTCTACCAACCACGAGCAATGTTCCTTCCCAACATCACCCATTCATGTATCTTAGACCAACACAGGAAAAAACAGAAAAGGTTTCAGACTAAGAAGAAACGCTCAAGCACTAGAAGTCTGTGTGATTCTTACCCAGTACATTAGTTGTTCTAATACATGAAAAATATCTCTCTAAAAGCCCTTTTTCTTCACTACTTCCCCGAACTACTATGGTTACATAGCAGTTCTGCAGCCCTTCTGTGGTTTCTGGAGTAAAGATGACAAATGCAGCTACCCACCCCACAAGCACTGCGCGTGTAGCATAGGTGCTCTTGCAGCAGGAGTGAAGCTACAGCACTGCACAGAAGCCAGGGGTTTCCTACCTCTTCCTCCCCATTTCAACTCCCACCACTATCATATGTCAGACCACCAGCCCCAACAAGGGGCATGACTTGTTATGTGGCAGAATGGAGTATGTGCCTATCATCTGATCCAGTGTAGGAAGACTCAGACATTTAGGAGGGAAAAAAAGGGCTAGACAGAGAAGCTCCAAGGGAAGCTAGCACTCAAGAGGTTGTTTATGGCAGAAATCCAAATAATAAACTAGCATAATGGTGACTTCTGTACAGAGACTTGTAGGTGAAAGCATTAAGTAAGATCTTAGGCAAAATGAGACTTGCAAGGAAAGAAGTATCTTAGATCAATGAAGGAAAAAACAGACAACGTTTCAGACATACAAGAAGAAATGCTCAAGTACCAGAAGTCTGTGTGATTCTTAATATATTAATTGTTCTAATAACTGAAATATCTCTCCCTAAAGGCCCTTTTCTCTTCACTACATCCCCCAACTACTATGGTTACAATACTACAGTTTACTATATATGAGACCGTGAAGCAAGTACCAAAAAATTATGTATCCTACAGTGACTACACATAATAGATTGCTTACTGTATATATTTTTCACATCATTCTCATAAAGGCAACTTACATCACTATGTGTTTTGCTGATATTTAAAGCATGGTTTAAATATAGCAGGTTTGGTAGATCAGAAGCTGGATCATGTAGGCTTTCCAAATCTTTCTTGTAATTCACCTGAAAAGAGAATTCAGGTTATGTAAAACAAAGATTAACAAAATAATTCACAGCTTTGTATTGCCGTATGGCCGTCCAGAAACAGAAAGCATTAAGTGCTTGCCTGAACAATCTCTAGCAGCCACTAGATGGTGGTCATTTACTATCATTTGGAGGAAAAGGAAAAAACAATGAAGAATTCATTCTACCGAGCAAGTATTCGGGAACCAAAACTTTTCCTCAAAAAAGACACTTACAACAAAATCACACTTCATGCGACTTTTCAGGCTAGAAAGGAATTATTATTATTTCTGGTTTTTCTCCTCCCTCCCCCCCCCCAACTTAAATCAAGAGTATCTTCCTCAATACTTTGAGTTTACTCATTTTAAACACTGTTGATTCTTGTTCTTTTTCTCTTGATTCACGAATTACACCAACTGTTCAAATAAAAAAGTTGTATATTAAACAGTTAAAGAGAAGAGCTCCTGGGTATTTTACTTAATACAGATTGCCCTCAGCAAAGATAAGCAATACGGTCACCAAAGGCAAAAGATAATCACTTAAAGAAGTAGCAGAAGATAACTTTCTATCAGCCTATGGTAGGATTTTCCATACTTCTAATAGCTGGATGTCTATCTTTACAGGAAGAAAACTAGCCACCTTACCTACCTTGGATAACAAATCTTTTAAACCAGTATCTTTAGTCACCTCCACATAAGTATAGTGTTCTTCACTGATTTAGGTAGAGTTTAAATCACCAATATTCAATCTGCATATCTCTCATAATAATAATTACTTCAATAAATTTTTTATCAACTATTTAGTTTTTGGAAACAATTCTATATTCTGTTGGACCCTTCCCAGAGCCAGCCTCTCCTGCTCCTGTTGGGTGGTGCCCCACACTTTGGAAATGCCAGACTACAGAATGAAGGCTTGTCTCTTGGCTATCTGGGATCATGGCCTCAAAGAAGAGCTCACATTTTTAGCATTAGACACACTGTTAAATATATCATCCCAACAGCATTATCACGTGATATAGATATTTTGTCCAATCTCGCTCCAGCAGCAGGCACCCATCACTGAACCTAGTGACTGCTGTACTTTGTAACACCATTCAGAAGACCAACTGGCAGAATGAAGTCTAAAAGACAGACATCCAAACTCAGCTGGTCATGCAACCTCCTTCTACAACACTGGAGAGATGCCAGCACTTCGCCTCTCTAAAGACAGGCATCTATAACAGGTCAGAAGAATTGCCCTCTAGACCTGTTTCTTTCCTGAATACAAAGGGACCAAGTACAAGCGATTAGCTCAGAGTAAGCAGTCCTACCTTTTGACATGCAAAGTTAAGCTAGATTAATCTCATCTAAAATGGCTATGAAAAAATCTGCAGGCCCTTGGAGAAGGGCTTTGTCAGAAGCAGAGGAAGAAATGGATAACATGCTGTATCTGCTATACTGACGCATTATAGCAGAGACTGCTGCTCAGAGTAACTTGTAAGATGGAAAAAGAAATTCTGCTTGAGAACAAATGTTAGGTTTTCCAGGATGTAAATGCATGCAAAATACAAAGCAAATTCACTTACATCACTTGCCAACGTGGACGCAATCTGTGCTTGCTTGAAGGAAGCACTGTCAAGAGGATTGTACTGGTGGTTCTTCATTTCCTTATTGAACTGCTCCTTGTATTTCACCTTCCACCAGAACAAACATATCTAATTTTAACATGTAGCACTTAAAGAAGGCACAGAGAATTCAGACTACAAAGGAGCTTATTAAAGGCAATTGCCTTATCCATAAATCTTTAAACAATGAAGATGTTTAAAGAAGATCATTTTAGCCACATCTGTGACTGTCTTGTGCTGGTTTCAAAGTAATTTTTACGTATCTGAATTTTACTAAAATAAAAAAATAAATAATTTTAAGATTGTCATATGCTATTACTGGTGCTGAAGGATTCATAAAAAAGGAAACAGAAACAAAACCATATGACTCACCTGAGCCATCAAATAAACCAGAACTGTTCAACTAGCAATAATAATCTACTCACTAAGAATCATTCAATTCATAATTAACACCTAAAATGTGTTTTTAATGAAAAAAAATTTATTAGGTGAATAAATTGTAAAACTTGTAAAATAAATAATTTATAAAATTTTCCACCACTTGAAAGTGGGAAGTCAGAATCAAACTTCCCACTCAGCTGTCCTCCCACCACCAGGTCCATGCGTCACTCATGCTGTGCTAGGCTGTCACCAGAGCCCCCAGGTCTATTTTTAACTCTGCCAGAAATTTCCCACGAGACCCCGAGGAATCCCTCTGTAGTACAGTCCCTTCTTGGAGACAATGCCCACCTCATTACAGTGTTAGAAAGCACAACTAAATGGCTGTCTGCCATCACTTTCACTGTCTTTTCTTCTTGCTTAACAGAAAAAAGGGGAACACCACCACATGGAAGAGGAAATGAGCAATACATAAATATTGAGGCAATGGCATTAAAAGTAAAAAAATCACAAAAATTCCATAAAACATGCTGAAGAACTGAATTCAGAATCTGAAAATATGAAATCGAACAAATAGTGTATTTCCCTCCTTTGCCCCCCTTGTTGTGCGTGATCATCAAACATCTGGAGACTTTGCACACATGCCTTGCTTCTATCCAACAGCTGGGCATAATGTAGGAGAATAAAGTTCAGTCTGAATTATACTGCTTTCATGAATGTTAGTCAGACACCTGATATGTAAGCCTATGCAACATCCATTATAATTTACCACGCTCTGCATTAAATAAATATGCGGCTTTTTCCTTACTCCTTTTTTCTCTATTTCCACATGAATGTCTGATAAAGTGGTTAAACCACCTCAAACACTTTCTTTCAAAAATTATTTTTTTCTCAGCTTTAGTTGTGGGAAGAATTTTCTTTTTGCGTCTTAGCTCTTCCTTGCCTCAAAAGACTCTGAACATGGTTTAGCTTACAAAGCCTCGTCATGTTTAGCCTCGATGACCAATATTTCATTAATAAGGATAACAAGAAACCAAAACTAAGCCACTCAAACAGAAACTAACCGTATATGTTCAACAACTACACTATGATTCCAGCACTTACGTTAATTTTTCAAAGGAAGGAAATTCTAAAACATTGTTACTTTTAAAGAGGAACTTTACCTGAACACATGATGAACTACATAATCTTCCACATTAACTCTAGCAAAGATGATCTATTGTGTTCTGGTAGATTCATCTGGTTCATATTGTTTGATATTTGCCTTGGCTTAGGATCAAGTGCAAAAGCATATATCTGAATACAAAGACACCGCCTTTGTCAAAGGCAAATCCACATTCTGTACCAGCAGTGAAGGAAATCAGAGTGCGTTTCCCTTTTAAAAGGTATATCCAAAACTTGCCTTCTAATAAAAATCAGGCAGTGCAGGAATATGTGATTCAAAAAGCCTCCGAAACCAAGGATCAAGTCAGCATGGTGAGTATATCTTTTACTCCTTGGGCATCAGCTTACATCACAACGATGTCATGCACAAGATTTTAAATATCCAACTACTGCAGGATGTCTTCTGCTCAGCCAACAAATGGCCACAAACCATGCATGCAGACGAAATGCACAACGTGGTCCTTGATATTCTTGTTAAGTGTGAAAGTGTCAGTGCCAAAGGGACCTCTCCTCACAACTGGCTTGCCATCTTCCAGCTGCAGCCTTTTCATGCCATTTTTTTAAAATACTTTTTCAGCAATACATTTCAATCTAGAGATTCCAATACTAAATCCTCATTTAGTGTCACTTCAGATCACATCACTGTTACTGAACGAAAGAGGGGGAGTCAGTGAACCCAGTCTTCACAGGGCTGTGTGTCCCAATGCCTACGTGCAGCAGGGTCCCAAATTTAAGGAGACTGCCCGCCAATCCGACTGAAAACGCTCCTGTTGCAGAGACAGATGTGTCAGTATCTCGAGGCACAGCTGCCTCGTCTGGCTGCTCCGCTTATTGCCTTTGCTCTCCTCCCCAACACCACTGCATATGTCGCTCTCGGGCAAAACGGAGGCTACACAATAATATCAGATGACCCTGGCAGTATCTCAAGAGCACTTCTAGCAGTAATTTAACCCTGACTTGTCATAGGGGATTCATCTCATTGAAAGCTACACACACGTTCACTTTCTTTTTTATCAGTATTTTCCTGTTTCTTTCTACCTTTTGAAAGAAAGTGTGGGGTGGGAGAGGTAGAAGAGAGAAGAGCAAGCCCATGGATGAGTCACTGTGAAGTAATGCACACAGTATTTATCTTTCTTTTGCACAGGAGAAAGTTATGAATGCAGTTTAAAGGGGAAAAATACGCCTGAGAGAAAGAGTTTTGATTAAAAACAAGGAAGAAAAATACTTCATCAGTGATTTCTAAAACATCTGAATGGGGGAGGTTTTAGTAATGCTATAACATGGTGGAAGAGCAAACAAAAAGTGGGAGTAGAAATGACAGTTGTTAGTGGAAGCTTATCTACAAATTTCATCGTTAACCAAAAGCTTTACTTTAATGAGGGTTTAAAATGACAGCTACTTATTTACCAGCTTAATTAAAGTCTGAAGTTTGTTTATTTTTTTTAGAGAGTATGTAGTGGGGGTTAATTTAAAAGAAATGCGTGGAGGTTGCTCTCTAATTGTTGCTGAAGAAAGAGCAGACTTTGCAGGCTTTTAACGCAACAACATCCCTGAAAAACCAACCTGGAATTAAATAAGGCCTGGATAAACAAACTTCTCATCAGCCTTGCACAAAACCTACAAAAGTCAGAACTGCAGCTGGACAGAGCAGTGTCTTTTGAAGCTTTGCAGCAACATTCCTAAATCAAATCTGTAGTTCAAAGCTGTTCACACAGGGAGTGTTCAATTTCAGAAGTGGATGACATCACCCACTGTTCAAATTTACAAAGAAACTACAAAAATTGAATCATTCAACCACTGGGATCCCAGGATGAAGCAGATACTTGCAGCTAAAGCATTTCCTCAAGACCATATGAAAACACATTAAAAAAAAAAAAAAAAAAAGAGAGAGAAACCTGTCAGAGCACATAGATATCGAAAGAAATGTAACATAAACAAAGAGCTAAGTTAAAATATTGGTTGTTAAAAGCACTAGCAGAGTTTAAAGCAAAGAAAGACTGAGAAAATTCTAGGCTCTCTGTGTTGTTACTGATAATCTCAGGGAAGGTACATTTTGAAAAACATTCTACCTCTAACGATTTTATCCCTGAAACAGTACACACAGATCCAACATAAAATACGAATATCCAAAATTATTCATCATAAAACCAATTATTGAACACCACAAGGGGAATATTTCATATCAGCAGCTCTTTGAAAAAGCTAATAAAATGCATTAGAAGACATAAACAAGAGCTTGTTTTTATAAAAAATACAAAAAATAATCCAAATTATACAATGTACATTCAGCAAATTGACAAGCTTCATGTTTTCACAAGGGCTAACACAGTTTCTGTTTAAATCTCATTTAAAATCAACAGAAAGGGGTTACCGCGTGCTGTGGGTAAATATAGTAGTTCTCTGAGCTATTATTTTTGCTGCTGCTCTTGTCAAAAGCTTTGTTAAAGAAAAAAGAAAAAAAGAAAAAAAGAGGGCGGGGAGAGAGAAGTCGGGGAGGGAGAAGGGGGAAGAGAGAACACTGATTTTGTGGAGCCTTGAGTGCCAGTCAAACATTGACAATATTTTCTTCACTTTGTTTGCCTTCCTGCTTGCCTTGATTGCTTTCTCCCTTTGTTACACCCACTCTGCCTGACCTCTTCTTGCTCCTGTTCTCTATACTCCCTAAATTACCTACCCATATGCACCACATTAAAACATGTTATCTTCTCTTCCCATTACATCCATCAGAATTGTCAACTTTGCAAATTTACTGTGAGGGTCAAATAACTAATATTTCTCTGCATGTCGCAGCTTACAGATTCATGCTATTAAAGGAGATTATCAACTTTCAGCACAAAAAGTTTATAATGCTCCCATTTGCTGAGAAAGAAATGGAAACCCTAAAAGCCATAAAGTCTGCAGACAATAAAGAGATCACTAACTTTACTATTTTTTAAATCGTGCAATTGTTACAAGCCTGCTTCATGATCCTTGCATGAAAAGGACTGACATGATTGACCCATATTTAGGGCTCCTCCTCTCCTACAGCACAGGTGCATTCCTCATCCTGCCCCACCACCCTGCTCTTTGGACACAGGGGTCATCTTCATTTTTCTGTGCTCTTGATTTACGATCAGTGTGTCTAAGTGTTATAATGATTCAAATAATATATGAAAACATTAGACAACTCATGGCCACTGCCTTCCCTTCAGAGGAGGTGGGGACTTGCTGAGTGCACCTCCCCACTGCTGAAAGCAGCCTGGTATTTACAGCCTCCATGCTGCTGCATGCAGATGGCAGCCAGCGCAGTGCCAGGCTAAAGCACTGCCTTCCTGTCTAAAAGTACGCTCCCCACCACACACAGCACAAGCAGCCACAACAGTGTAGACTGAGGAGAAGAAAAGAGAAGGAAGGATCCCAAAACTTGGATCCAGGCCCAGTAGCTGCAGAGTTTGGACCACCAAAGTTTAGTAAGATCTTCTTTACAAATAAACTGTAAGCAAGCTACATTTTGTCAACTGCTCCTCGCTTCCTGCCATACCTTCTGCACTATTCAGACTCTCTAAAGAAATGAAAATTGCACACCAAATGCTCTCTTCTGCAGGAGCATCTCAACTAGAATTGCTGCCATCCCAATCCCTGGCAGTGAAGAGACTATTATAAAGCTCTTGCAGATGCAGCATACATTGTCCAAGAGGAAGAGCACACGTAATAAAAATGAGATAAAAAGTGCACTGATGAATTCTATGATGCAGCTGGCTCAGCATCTGCTTGCAGGACCCCATGATCCAGCTCATATTTTCTGATTGTTGTGATTGTTGGCCACAACCTCAAGGATACCAGGTTTAGTGAGATGAAGAGGGCTACTGGAAAGGGATCCACTTTGGTCCCATTTGCAACAACAAGCAGTTGCAAGCCCACTAGAATCTGAAATAGGCTGCAAGGAAAGGAGTGTGTAGACAGCCTCTGAGTAGAAATAAAGTATACGACACACTGAATTTAGATATGAACCCTTTTAAAAACCACTAAAGTTGTTGGCTAAATGACAGACAGTTCCTTTTCCTGTAAGTGACACCCAGGTGTAAGCATCATCGCACCACGCTTCCTAGAGAACACAGGTTGACGTTCAAGCCTGCACGATGCTACGCACGAAAGAATCTCTTGGCAGACTTGCCCATCAGCAGAGGAATGAGCACACGATCCATTACAAAATGGAAGAGAGAAATCTATTTGGAAAACACAAACTAGTTTTGATTCTGAACACATCATCAACAAAGCAATAAAAAAAACCATGTATTTTCTTCTTTTTCCCTGCAGTATTAATGCTTCAAAGTTAATGATGGTCCAGTGTGAAACAGGAAATCATGTAGCAGATATCTAAAGACAACATTTGGTGACAGCAAAAGCAGCTCTCGCAAACAGACGCTGCACTGTTTTGCAGCTTGTTCTCTATGACACATTATTCTCATTTTATGTTAGTTCTAGGGAAGATGTTTCCAATCCAGCCAAATCACAAGTATTTGTTACAAAGCACTGACTTTCAGACTGTTCTAGTGTATACACTACTACACTTGAGGTTCTTCCCTAGTTCTGGGAAGGCTGGCATGGCCTTCTCCAATCAAAGTGTGTTATCCTCCTCCTACAAGAGGGCAGAATTTGTTCATGGGTTTACAAAAGCTCTAAGTGTAGCCTGACAGGATTACTAGCAAGGATTACGCAAGGCACCATTAAAGAACTACTCCAGAAGAAAAAAGGGAAAAAAAAAAACCCACAACAGGTCAGCAGCCAAAAATCCCTTCTCACAATGTTAGGCTGATCTGTACTAGAGACTTAGATGTAGATCTTATGAGTAGAAGACTCATAAGAGGAAAAGAGTGAAAAATTGTGTTTTGGGCTTTCTTTTTAGTTATAGGGTAAAGTAATGCATTTTCCCTCTCTTTTTGTCCCTTTTTTTTTTTTTTTTAATGAGGTTAGTATATAACAGAAAGTAGTACATAAAACATTCAGTTTCAGGGAGAGGGAAGGCCGGTGGTTTACACATCAGGCCAAATTCAGATCCCATTACTCATATTAGCAAGCAGTTACACAAAAGACCCCAGTTACTTCAGTGGGATTAATCACAGGGTAAGGTTCCACTCAAACTGAGTGAGTAGCAAAATCTGCCTCTAAATTACATACAGTCAATATTCTAGAAATCCTAGATAATCTGTATAAATATACACCATCTCCACAAGAGACGAGTTATAACAGTCAAAGTTCATTGTATTTTTGCATGAAAATGTATATTCTGTTTCCTAAGAATCTTAAATTTACCAGTCATTGCAATACTATATGAAAAGTTTGAGAACATAACCTTCATGCAATCAGAGATAATAATCTAAAAATCTAAACATTTTCTTGCATTACTAGGAACGAGATATCTGAGTGAAGTCATTGTAAAATGTCAGAGAATCTTACTTGGCTTAACAGTTTTGAAACCCCTTTAGCATGTTCAAAATCTGGTCTTCCAAGTACAGCAGGCTCCTTATTCATCTCTCCCCTTCCTTTCTTGTACTCAGCCTTAAAAAAAATGAATATGAATCACTACTAAATCATTTGCTTTTGTTTTATCCACAGAAATATATGCGTTAAAACTTGTTGAAAAAGTCTCATTTAGTGACCTGCATTGACATTACTGTTCTAAGCAGCTCCGAAAAAAAAGCCCTTCTCAGGCTTCAGTTCCTTAACAACCTAATAATTATTTATTGTAAAATACAATGCACAGCATTCACAAAATTCAACTCTAACCAAATGCATAGCTTAAGCCCGAGAAATATTATTCTCCCAATCAAGGCTGAATGAGTTACAGTGGCTCAGCATTTCTTACGACAGGGCCTACAGTTTACACAAGATTATTTGTAGCAGCTGAAAACAGTCTTGAAACAAAACTAGGCTGAGGGGCAGCTTTTTTGAAAGGTAAGGTGAAATTCCACTCTCAGTTTTACCACCACCATCTTGCTGGATGTCAGTGAGGTTGCATTGGTGTAACAGAGCGGAATTAGTCTCACAAGGTTGATAGTACATGATCTTTCCAGTTGAACTGCCTCCCATGCAAATTGCTGCCATTTTTTTTCACAATGCATTAGAAAACAGCAGATGAATCGAAATAGGTGTTTTGCGATATCACAAATTAAATTACCCATTGCCTAAATTAGGATTCTTGCATTACTCAGGCACCGTGAATCAGCAAGGACATGTCACAACAACAGACTGAGAGAAATAAAAGTCCCAGAGCCACTCTAACTCAAAGGGGGCTTGAACAGCAATTAGTAAATTTGGGTGTTGAACGTAAGACTTAGTAGAAGTTCTTGGTTTTCAGAAAATCCTGAATATCCAAAAGGTGAATCTCGAGCCTCTTAAAACTGTCTCTCCATAAGTGCCTAGTCAGTCTCACATTAAACTATTAGCAGTTACTTAAAATCTTGGCTCAGGGCTTTAATACATATATGGTTTGACTTGTGTAAAATAAAATATTAAACTGCATCACACATTGCTGTTTCTTAAACTGCTTCTTGACCTATCCATTAGCAGATGTCACAGCGGGAGGGCAAAGAATTTGAGACGGGAGCTCAGGGAGGAGAGCCCCCATGCAAGAAGCAGCGCGTCTGCACAGAGTTCAGGACAGCAGAGAATTGCATTTCCCTGTCGCTGCCAACCGAGATGGGAGGAGGAAGGGGAGTCCTGGGATGCAAGCTTCTCTTGTATTGAGGTGAAAAAAGGCTTGGTATGTCTTCTGAAGTGCAATATAACATACCAGCATATCACTTATTTTGAGAATCGTTATCATGAATAAAGCTGAAACAAAACCAACTTTAGTAAGCTTAACATTGTCTTTAGATCAATGACCAATAATTGCAAAGGTCATACTGTCAACATCAAAATAGAAAAATCCCATATCTTTGTAACATACCAGGCAAGGTTGGGGGGTTCTTTTGTTGGGTTTGGAGTCTTTTTTCAATCAAACCTCCGTATCAGATTTGGGGTTGCAGGTTTTCTGCTTGTGATGTTTGAGAATTTCAGCAGTATTCTAAACAATCTGACTGAAATTTGAATAAATAAAATACCATGTCTAAAAAATACAAATAGAGTAACATGAGAACATACATCACTTATTATCTTTGTTATCTCAGTTGCTATCTTGATGTCTGGCCTGTTCAGCACTTCAGTGTATCTATGAGTATCTTGCACATCCTTCTTATAGGATACCTGTCAAACAAAAAACAGTTTTGTTTAAAATAAACAAGCAAAAACTTTTGAAGTTTATAAATAAGCTTTGAATGACCTATCAACTCACTTATCAAATTCAACAGAACTCTGCCTAATTTATTCCAACACAGTCCTGTTTGACAGGGATTACTTAGTAAGACCCACACACAGGTTAACAGCATAAGGAAGAAATTCAGAAGTATAAAATACAGTATTAAAATGAAAAATGATTTTGCTTAGAAGCATAGTAGAAAATGAAAGCACTGCAAAGACCCAAATATCAGGTTTTGTCATTAAATTTCAGAGGACTTCTAAGAGTACAGCATTTTTTCCTATGCTGCATACGCTTTTCTAGTATAAACTAACCCCCCCCCGCCCCCGATACTGAGCACCGCAGTCTAGCAGACTGCAGCTACACTGAACAGAAACTGTAATTTTACCACAGTGAATGTCTTTCTCAGTAATTGGCAGCCGTGTAGCTGGTATGTATTTCAATGACACCACTCCACCTCAGCATGTCCCACTCGCCGCAACTCCACTTATCTGTTTCTTTACACAATCATGGGAACAAGACGACTGAGTGTTCCAGTATGTGGAGTACAAGACTGAATCTTTCCGTTTGTGCAAAAGCCACTACTATAATGAATGGGCTCAGAAAACTTTGGCCAGAAGGCTAAACCACAGGTAGGGGAGTCCAAACATTCTCCATTTAGCAAAGCAATCACAGGAACAGCACAGACCCCAGGGATGTTACAGAGCTCCAAGACCACAAGTTATCCTTCTTCTCCCTCTTCAGGGTCTATAGACTTTTTCCTCTCCCTTGCTGTAGCACATGTGCCAATCTAAGCCAATTTCCAAGAGCTGTCTTACTGAATTATTCTGAATGATTAAGAAAATCATCCCTGGTATTCAAAAGTGTCTGACAAATTGAAGTTTCAGGAAAAAGTTAGAGAACATAAAATAAAGTCTACAGGAAATAGAAAGTATCAGAATAATTCCTGCTTTACTGGACAGATTTTTTTGTTTTCTTCTGTTGTTTAACAAAGTTAATCAACCTCTCAGGATAGTATTTCATCATCAAGAAAGTCCTCAGCTTGAAGCTTCACTTATAACCTCCACATCTAGCTCCTATTTCCAATATAAAGTTTCAGTCTGGGTACAATGCAACAAACTTATGAACTGCAGTACTCAGCAACAAATATAATTTGTAGAAATGTCATTGTAAAAAGAAAAGGAAAAAAAAAATCTGACTTTCTGGCAAACATTTGGCAACAGGAAAGTAATTTTGTGTCCACACGGCTTCATCTAAGTAGACAAGCTAAACAGGCTTCACTGTTGGCCACTTGCCCACAAATAGATCTTATAATTTTTAACCTACAATGAGTGACACACAAGTGTAATCACTGATAAAATAAATAAATAAATAGGTTGGATGAATACAGCCCAAAGTATCACCTACCAAGAAAACAGAAACTGATTCTTACAGCTTGTTTAAACCACTGGAAGTTTTGTTTTGGTTAGGTTTAGATTTCCTCTATTTTTTTAAGAAACTAGATGTACAGACAAGCATTTGCAATTCAGGGCTTTACATGAATTTAGTTAATTATATGCTGTTCCTCCTAATGACCACATGAGGTGAGGTGAAAACCACAAAGGCAGCAGAAACAGGTTTCTGAATAGCACCCTATCATCCATGTAAATTGCAAATTAAAGGCCAGCATATGTGCTCAAAATAGAAATTAGGAATGGAGTGAATTTAACAACAGAGAATCAAGAATAGTGGTGATAAAGTTGAGGAAATGTGGTCACTTATTGCTCCCAAATGACATGATCATATAGTACATGAAATAATGGATTGTGGTTAATTTAAGGGGGAAAAGGGAGGGAAATAAGACAGTGACAGTTCTTTATATTTCACCATTTCCAATTATATTAGATGCAAGGCCAATTGCTATAGCTTCCCCTGAGTGAATTATTATTCTTCCTGCACCTAAACCAGTATACCTATTACTTATGTCTGAGGGAAAGTCATCTAGCATTTTACAAATGTCTGCAATATATATTTGCTCCATTCTGCAGCTTGTCATACTCCGGTGAGAATAAAAATGTTATGCAGCAGAACAGTAGTTTGTCAGAGGTAGACCAAAGAAAGAAAAAATATGTTTCCCATTTCCTGAATAACCTCAATCCCTGGATGCTGACCCTTTCCCATTGGGACAGTGTGCTGGCCTCTATTACACAGCTGCTATTCTGTTCCATCTAGAAGGTGGGGTTTTTTTATAGTGCTATGTTAGAACAGTAAAACCAGAGATATTCTGAGAGAGCAGAGGAACAGATGCAGACAGGGTAAAGCAACCAGCTCGGTGTGTGCACCCATGGGCACTGAGAAGATGGAAAGTGGAGAAGCCTACGAGAGGGGAGAGGAGAAAACAAAGCTTCGCCAAGCAACAAAAGAAAAGAAACAGCAGAAGCACTCAGGAAAGGGGTCATCTTTTCTCCTGAGTTGGTTCAGCCCCTTACCAAGAGGCTCAAACCCTGACTGAAACCTCCAAGCGTTATACAACGCCCTTACTCAATCTTCATTTCAAAGGGTTGCTCAGGCTCTATGCAAAAACACCAACAAAGGCTCAAGAACTGCTCCTTTTTATGAGGACGACAGGTCTATGAAACATCTGCTCAAACTGGCCTAGGAAAAAGTAACCGAGATACTGACTACTTAAGAGTAGCAGTGGAAGAACTAAATGGAGAGTTACAGCAGACCAATGGTAAATGCAAGCGAGAAAGCAGCAGGGACAAAAAGGTGAAAAAATTGTACCACCTCTAATTTTGAAGTTGCATAGTAAATTACAAATACTAACTAAATGTAAAGTGTTTTTCTACCCCAATTTGAAACTGCAATAAAAAGCAGTTACATTGTTGAATATTTTTAAAAAACTATAATCTGAACAAAAGCCATTTTCTGTCTTGAATCCCAAATGTGAATTGCCACTGGTTTTTGCAAAGCATGGAAAATATGCAGGGCTTGCTCATAATCAGTAGACTAATTTTAATAGGGTCAAACCTCCAGCTTTTATAAAAAGGCCAAAGGTCCACTGACAATAAACATGCTGGTCTATTCAGTCCAGTTGAGGGTTCTAAAGATGCTTTACCTTTTGTGATGGTGCCAGTGCATTGGAATGCACTGCAATGCTGCAAAGTAAACAGACATCTAACAATGCTGTGCAACATCTCAGGCTGTCAATCAACAAACAGAAGCTTCTGCTACATGGTGACCCAAGCACACCTAGGTTTATAGGCCTCAGACTTTTCCTGCAATCTTGTCTTCTCCCCTATTCCAATTCTAAAACTATTCCAAGCTATAGGTAATAAATTATTAAAATATGCACAAGCAGCTATGAATACATTTTGCCCTCTTGAGATGCACACACAGAAGTCAGCAATGAGCTGGGCACACCTATCTGCAGGAGAATTTGTCCCTTACTGTTTGTCCCTGCTTAGTATTTACTAAGAGCTGCAAGTCCACTAACTAATGGTCTGTGAGCTGTGTCTCTGCCCCCTTTTCTCTCATCTGCACTTTGGGGTCCATCAACACTAAGAAAATGACTAACTGGTGACAATCATCATCGGCAGCAGCTCTTCTGATCCCCACTCAAATGGTGTTGAAAACTGCTTCCTGGCTCATGTAGAAGACACAAACACATTTCTGGCCCATTATAGATTGATGCAGTCATCCTTTCCAGTAATGGGCTTGAAAATTGATTGGTCCCAATTACATCAGGAGTAAACACATCATTTTCAGCACCAGTTGGAAGTGGTCCAGGGGGACCTGCTGTTGACAACCACTGTCAGCAGAAAGTTAGTCAGTGAAAGGTGATTTTTCTAATGCAGATGCTGAACAGAGAGCCAGGAGAAGCTTGACTTTAACATGATCTGCATCAAAACAAACATTGACACTTTGGTATGTTATTGTGGTGTTTAAGCACATCAAGTTTAAGATTTGTTGATTTGGCCTTATCAGAAAGAATGTAATTTTTGTGTGTGTGTGGATTGTGACCGCACAATATCCTGAACATGAAAAAAAGCCTTTCTCCTAAGACAAATGGACTTCTTAAATATTCAAATTTAGATGGTCTGTGAAACATTGTAAATTACCTCTACTGACATCATATGGACTGCAAAGAGTATACATATACATCAAAAGTTTACCCAACTGTCAACTAACATTTTAAAAGCAGTACTGTTTCATACATAAGCATAAAAGAAAAGATACCAGGGCTCCAACCTCATATCTGCAAACTGCCTTTTAAATATCCACAGATGTGTCTATTGCAGTTTTCTTATTCGTAAAATCAGAACACTACTTCCTTATTTCATACAATGTAATGCTGTAAGGAGAATCAGTAGTTTTAACCAAGTAGAACAAATAAATTGCTGTACAAACACTTAACACTGTTTTGCTATTTTGTAACGCCCAGTGATGGACGAGGTCATAGAACAGCTCAAACTGGGATCCACAGCTTTGAGTACCTTCATCAAATGCTATGTGCAGCTTCTACTCAGGCACAATGCAGCAAGTGTTTTCTTTGCTTTAGAAACTTAATTGTCATGTCACTTCACTGTTCAATAACTTTCTTCCATCCATGTGATCCTTCGCTACACATAAGGCAAACCACTATTTTGTGATCTGACGGTTTTCTAAGGGCCACCACCTAGTTTTAGTCCCCAGTTTGGAAACTTCCAGATGAGCCAAACGACATCAGCCAAGCACAGACATAAAGTAGGCTGATCGTCCCTACTTCACTTTCTCCAAATGCCTTTCTGTGTCAAAGTCACGTCATTAACATTCACTTCACAAAACACAAACACAATTTATAGAGAAAACTACTCTGTTTTGGATAAACATGCTTTCATTGAAGCATTATGTAGTATTTAAATTATTTTTCAAGTAAATTCCCTATCATTAAAAAAGTCACTTTTGTTCTTTTGAGAGGAATTTTCTTCAGTCTAAGTATGAGGAAGAGAAAAATTATTTTCTTACATACGATCACACTGTTCAGGAGATTTTACAGTATTTCCCTATTACGCAGCTTCAACCAACACTTACAGAGCATGTTAATGATATCCAAAGTAGTGTGAAGGCCTACAGCACACAACAGTTTCAAAATGTCATCACAAATGTATTGTAAGCTGAATACAGTCTTAATTTTTAAAGGAAATTGCACATTTCAGAGTTGAGTATAAATGTCAGCCTCATTTTAAGGCTGAGTAAATAGTCTTAAACACACCCTAATCCTATTAGATGCAAACCCTGCATGTAAAGGTTGAATTGAGTTGGCAGAGCATTGTAGGTAAACATGCATTTTGCTCCCATAGGTATACTGTACTGAGTGGTGGATAAAAGAGCTTTGTCCTTCTATTCCCCCAGTAGTTTCCCTCCTTTTTCCCTGCACTTTCAAAGCTGTGATTCTACAAATAGCCTGAAATAGTTTGGAAAGATAAATGATCTACATTTGAGATGCTCGCTATTCCACGCTCTGACTCAAAGATGAAAACGCACGTGGCTCTTAATTAAACTTACACTTACAAAACAAGAAATTTGCAGCTGTTCACCATGGTGCCCAAACAATTACCCACAGGAGCTGTGTAACTCTGCTGAACAATAACTGGACTTACATAACTTGCTCCTTTACATGCAATAAAGATATATCCCCATTGCACTGCAGCTCCCCGTAAGCAACCAGAAAGAATCTGTTCTAACAGATGAAACTAACTGGTTAGAGTTTTATGTTGGATGCGAAGGGTTTATTTGATTTTTTTGAAGTTTGCTCAGGCTGAAAATAATTTCCTTCATAATTTTTCTTTATTTTTAACATGCTGTTAGAAGTTCTCATTTGTCAAAGCATCCTTCCCTTCTCTATTTGCCTTCATTTCCTTTTCTTTTTTTGCTTGCTTTAAGGGTGAAAGAAGATGAAACAATTGAATTTCATTTACTCTCACATCTGTACTCTGCTCTCCTTAATTTTGTTAGCAGGTGACGTACAGCTGTAGAAGGGGAATGGGTTTTGCACTAGTATACTAATCCTCAGATCATGATGAATTTGATCCAAAAAACTCCTCTCATATTCCTCCTGGTCCCACCACCTTCTCTGAGAAGGATTCCCATTTCTCCTCCCAACATTATTTCCTTCCCTAGCAGTCCACCATCATTTCTACTGCTAGAAAAAACTACTAGCAGAAAAAACCTCTTGTTTATGGGGAGAGAATTTCATGTTCCCAGCTCCTATGCTCTGTCAATCTGACATCCCGATGCTTTCAACAGCAGAGGCAGCCGGAGTTTGACAAGAAGAGGGAATTCTGTAATCAAGGCAGGTTGCAAATTACTGCTGGGAGTTCCAACGCAGGTATTTCCCAGCAGAAGAAAAAGTTATTCTTCAAACATAATGTTTCCCTGAAGTTTTCCAGCAGCCTTTTAATCAGCAGCCAGCTGTCAAGATTCTGCACATATGGACATACATCTAACATTGACATTTAGTTTTCAGCCTACATAACCTAAGACTGTTTGTTATACTGTCAGTAGGGAAGATAGGGTAAATTTAAGATAATTCAAAATGAACACCCAAGCTTCATTTTCTACACTGTTAGCAGCAAACAAATATCTCATTTATCTGAGAAACAAGAGTTATAAAATCATATACCTACCCAACTTGACTTGGTTACCTAAGAATGGAAATGGATCATAACTTTAGAAGTACTTACATGTCAGCTGTTCTTACTGGGTTTGTGTACCCTTTAAAATAACCTCAGTATTTTAGCCCATCTTCTCCTAAAATTTACTTTTCTCGTAAGTAAGCTTTTACAAAACCTAAAACTAACATACATTTTTCTTCAAAGTTGTGTTTCTATCATTCAAGACACTAACCTTACTAGCATTTCTGCCCCCAGCAATAGTGCATTAAGCTAGTATAAGCTAGCTTGACCATGAAATCAAACCCAACTTGATACTAATAAAAAATATACATACTATTATTAGGCTTTTATATTGTGAAAACCTAAAGAACTTAAAGAAGTTAACAAGCAGCTGTAAAAAAAAAAAAAAAAGAAAAAAAATTGCTAAATACTCTAAATTATTTGTAATTTATCTAAGTAAAACTACAAGAACAAATATTTTGGTCAAACTAATGCCAGGCATCAAATTGAACTCTATGGCTCAGATTCTGTAAAATAAGTCATAAATTGTTCTTTGAAACACATTTGATTTGTATTCATGAGATAGGAACGAAGTTATTCCTGCTCATAAAGGTGTGCAAGAGCAGGGCAGAAACAGCCCCCTTCTCTCCTCTATACAGAATCCCTGAAGAACTATCCAAGTGTTGACAGTGTAAGACACTGAAACCATGCTGGTGTTCATGTAAACAGCGAGCTTTACACACTTTTAAAATGCAAGTAGGTACACACGAATTCAGAGAACCTGTGTTTGTAATTTCATTTCAAAGTGATAGCACTTCACAACAATTACTACTAACAAACAATAGCAACCGCTTTCCCACTGCAGTTTAGAATAAAAGCCACATACCATTACTCATAGCATATTTTAGACACACACTGTGTCTCAAATTACTTCAGAGCAAATAATGTAAAAGAATATCAACTAATGAAATATGAAAATGTTCCAAACCCAAATCATTTCAGTTAGCTATAATAGATGTATCTACCCAAAACAAGCAAACTAATTTCCGATGGGGGAGTACTTACATCACTCTGGTATTTATTGACTTCCATGGCATGCTTAATATCTGGAGGCTCCTTCATATGTGCGTAATCTGAAGTTCCTTTCTCAGCATCATGTTTTTGTTTATAGAGAACCTGAAAAGAGCAACCTTATATTTTTGTGACCTCAGCAGAGCAGGCATAATACAAGCTGGGTTAAACCTAGTGTTGCAGTGTGCCTGTATTCAGGAAGAAATGTAATAAATAATTAAGCTCCTTAATAGAATCAGAACCCTGAAACGAAAGCAGCTTCCACTCAAAAGAGAGACATATAAGGTAGTCAGCAGAGACATTTCTCTGCATCTGTTATTGCAACAGAGGTATGAGTAGACAGGGGGAAGAAAAGGAAATACACAGAAACAGAAAATTAACATTAACAAGGTGAGAAGACTGCCCAGGGAAAAACATAAGCAAAAACTTCTTTTGCTCAAAACACACTTTATCTATCAGCTAAGTAACTATTCCAACTTTCGGGGTTTTTTTCCTGTTTTCATAAAAAAAAGAAAATATTTTGTGCATTCCTCATAAATAAACAGGTTTACATGAAATACTCATAGCCCAAACATCGATTTCTTTCACTGTTAGGAAATTACTAGCACGATACATATTTTGACTAGGCCCCAGGTTCACAAAGAAAAATCATATTTAAATTCACTTGTCACCACAGTAAAGGAAAATGGGAATTGGATTGTGAGTTTGTAAACAAATTTATTTTTATAATAGAAACAGAGCTCAATGTTGGGCATTCATCCAGCTTTCACTGTACTGTTATACTTACATATACACACACTCACACACTAAAACTGCCTGAAAAGCTGATCTTGCACTTATCCTTGTCAGAAGCTTTTAGGCTTACATTAAGAAAATTCACCAGGTTTTGACGCCTGAAGAAGCAGCAAGCATCAAGAAAATTCATTTTCTAATAGCACTCAGGAGCAAGCATTAAAATAATCCCCAAGAAAACAGCAAACACTAAATAAGATTGAAAGCTGATCAGGAGGAGAAGGATTTGAAACTAAAACCCTCAATAGCAATAAAAGAATACTGTGAAAGTTTTGAGATGGGAACTTGTGACTACGGTGATTCAGACTCTTTTAGGACAGGATACTAGAACTGTGAGAAAATGTTGTATCTGTTTGTGTTTAAGGAAGCAAGATTGCATCTGAGTCACAGATCAGGGTGCCCAAGACAATATTTTAGTATCTACCCTGACTATCTCAGATTATAAAATGATATATAGGCTGAGAGATTAAGATGAAAAGTGGTTTTTTTTCCCACTGCTACTATATGAATGAAAGTATCAAATATAGGAAACTTAAAATGTGCCATCTCCTTGTACAGTGTAAATCCAACATGATCAGGCCTCTGGGGAAACAAACACAACAAATTTAAACAAAAAAATGTCTATAACCTCCTAATACTGATTACATCTTGCAACTGGCAAAGCAAATAATCTTTAACAACCCTAACAAGTGATTCCCTGCAAAAGTGTAATTACTATATAAACATATGCCACAAAAACTCTTTTGCTACTTCTCCTGCTTCACACTCTCACTTTTAACATGTTCCCCACTTAACACCATTCTGAAAAGCAGACCCATACAGTTACTTTCAAAATCTACTAATTTACAGATATTTAATTACATTGCCACTGTGCTGGTTCAACATCTGTATTTTTCTGTTGGCAAACGGGCTATGTAACCAAGACATCAAAAAACAACAGCACATCAACTCCCAACAGGAAAAAACTAACAGAAGTTACAATTGAATATCCACTATCTTGGGAAAAGATGACTGTTTCTTTAGCTTAATGTAGGAATATCTGACTTGCTATTTGACAGCTGTGTTCATCCTATCTTTTCACATTATTCTTATTAACTGACTTAAGTAACCTTGAAGCGATCACAGGCTAGGAGGAGCTCAATAGCTGTCTAGTTTAGTTCTGGACAGTTTAGTGCAGAACTATTCCCAGAACTGTAAATCGGTTCCAAGGAAGCATGAAAAAGTGTTTGAGGATTATTTCATCAATATTCTTAGAACCATTATTATACATGTTATCATGTGTGCATTTATTTCTCATTTCATGTTAATTTTCAAGTTTTAGCTAAACTGAATTTTCTCTATCAAATCTACATCTGAAACTGACATAGGTCACTGACATAACCTCTACTCTGTAGTGGCACCATTTATTACCTCAATAAATACAAGGCAATTATTTACGTAGGTACGACTTCAGATTGAACTAATTTGTAAGTACCTATTTTTTATTTCTCTTGTCTCTCTTGTACACCAGTGCACCAACTGGAAGCTGCATTAAGGCAGGCTTTGTGTTCTTTTAACTTAACTCTGACCAACCCTCTGTTTTGGAATACTTTAAACACTATTAAATTTTTATTTTTATATTTCCCTTTATAGTCAGTAAGCTGAGCTCTGAACTTAAAATCCACAATATAGGATTTTGTAGGAGGAAATGTTCAAGAACACAGAAAATACCATTTTAATCTCTAGAGACAGAATTAGATTATCTGATGTATTTGGTAAAACAAAACTAGAGAAGTCCAGGAGACTAATACCTGCTACCATAAAAAAAAGAGGAAACCTTGAATGTGTGACTTGATATCATAAAAAACCATTGAACAATTACATAAACCAGACTGATAATGTGTAATATGATTGTAAATGATGCAGTAAACCACAAAAAAATAGTTTTATCGTAGTAAACAAAATACATATGAAAGTACAAGTAGTATTCTGCCCACAAGGAATAAAAACTCTGAAACTTTCTCTGGAGGTTGAAAATACTGCTTAAGATTCACTGAGCTCATCACCTTTAAAAACAAACAGAAAATACTGTTGAGCATTGACATATAGTTACTATTTGAGATATTGCCCTGTGCAAAGGAGAAAATTAAACTGCCTTCAGTTTGCTTTAGATTATTCCTTTCAGATAAGAAGAAAAACAGTGTAATCTCTTCTTATGGCAGAAATAAAGTGATGAAAAAAGTGATGGAACGCATACTTTTCTTCAACATTGTTTCCCGCTCAAGCAATTTTAAATACCTTTATCATTGTTTGTGACACCTTATTAAAAAAATGGTTCTGCGTAAGGAAGAATTCAGTATACTAGTCTTCAGACAGAAAAAGATTTGGCACAACGATCAGAAATTTTCCTTCAGAAATATTCTCACACAGGAAAATTGCAATTTTTCCAGAACATGTCCATTTCCTCTCAGGAAAATCCAAATGAGGGCTCCCTGCCTAAACTGCTCTCATCCACTTTATTTTCTCATTGCAGAGAATGGGGAAATTGGTGAGAGTTTTGTAGGCTGGCAGGAAGGGTGTAGTTATGCGGTGGGGACAGGGACTTCTCCTGCTCTCTCTAGCTTACCCTGGGGACAGCTATGACAAAAGAGAGGGAGCGGAGAAAATCTGGTTGCTCTACCCTCAAGAAAGCTATTTAGAAGGCAACAGTCAAATTTTCTGCGTAGAAGAAAAAATGAAATTGGTAAAAGCCACCCAAGTATGTGAGGTTATGAAACTTCTTTTTCATTCTCCTAAAACATTTTTTTCCCCATAAACAGTGTCATGAATTTTTTGTCAAAATTTTGCATGGATTTCATTCTCTATGGGTATTTATTTGCATCTTCATGCCAGTTCTAGATAAAACACAAAAGCGCATACATGGGCTTTATGCAAAGGCCAGCAGAGATGGTCTTGTTTTAGCCTTTCTTGTGTATCTTGAAGAGGGAATTGAGCATGAATCAATACAGCCAATATGGGGAGAAAGCTCCAACAGGAGGAGAACCACAGCTGTCAGGGTGTTGTACTCTCCGTTATGGTAAGATCCTGTCAGTGCTGACATTGTATGGCTCACATTGTATGGCTCACATTGTATGGCTGGAACCCTACAGAACAGGGCTCTGCTGAAGTCAATGGCAATTGCTGTATCAGTTGAAGCATGCAAAAGTGATAGATGGTGCTGTGGCAGTCTGTTTGCTCTGGAGAGGACAGTGGAGGGCAGCTGTAGGTAGGGAATAATTTCTTGTGAGAAAAAGGAAATGTCCCCTAGTTGCCTCCAAGTTCTTAAATTATGAATGTGATCTGAAACACTGTATAAAACTAATAAATTGGACTAGATCTAGGTAGGCTGAAAACGGAGCTGCTGGGCAGCAGCACCATTTCAGGACCAAACATCAAATCACGGGAGAGACCATTTGCCGAGGACACATCTGTGTAAGGAGATCACCCAGCAGAGGCGTCCCACCCTCGGCAGTCCTGTGCCAGCAGGTAGTAGCGGGGAGAGTCAGTGGCTCACTCTCTTACACACTGTGATCCCCTCGTCCGGACACACTGGCTTGGCAGATGAGGCTACAGATCCTGCCAAGAACATGGCATCACAGATCAAGAAAGCACCTGCTTGATCTGGCTACAAAAGCATTCAAGCCCGGCCTTGCATCCATGAAGCATGAAAAAGGACTGCAAGGAGTAAATTTGTTCTAAGGTGGATGGGGAGGAGGACGCATACTCTTATTTTCCACCTCTCAGGAAATCAACACCTATTTAAAATCAACTTATTATAATTGAGAAACAGACTGCAGTTCTGTGCTTGCAACAGCTTTTTTGCAGCAGGGTTGGCACAATGGCCAGCCAGTGCTGTTCTCTCTCCTTCCTATGATCTTCTCTCCTTCTTGATGAAGTGATGACCTGTAAATTCACAATCCCAGCTAGACAGATGCAGCAGAAATCCCCTCTGCCACATCCTGATCCAGCTGAAATCTGAAATCCTTATATTAGCTACTTAGGTACCACAGTGATAGGCACAATATGGATTAGATTTGAATACTGTAGAGAAGATTTTCCACTAGAAAATTCCCCAGGATCTCTCTCAAAGTAGCATTAAATTCAGGTCCACTGCAACAGTAACGACAAGTTGGAAAAATGTGTCAGCGTATCTTTAAGTTTTATGGTAGATTATGATTAATAACGCATCTATTCCTAAGAGGATGGTATGAATTTTACAGGAAAAGTTTCTACTTAAATATAACTCATCCTATATGCATACTTGTTTCTCTATGACTTGGATGATTGAAGAAAACCTTCAAAAATATCAAATGAAAATGTTAGTCTTTTCCTTAAAAGGGTTTTTCTGATGAATCAAATGGTTTCATTTTTAGTCTCAGTTATTTATCTTTTCTGCCATATCACCAATGTTAATTAACCTCATTTGCATAAGCTAATGTAGAATGTCCTCATTTGGAATGAATCCAGGAGTAAATCTGTGGCAAACTAGTTAAACAGTGTTTTATAAATCAAGGTAACAGTTTAAAAATGTTACATAAGTTTCATTCCCATTTTTTTTCTACTGTAATTCTTCTAATCATTCACTTTACAATGAAATTTCACATTAATGTCATTTCAGGTACTGTGCTGCTTTAACTTGAGTGCATATATGTTCCATTTCAAACTATGAAAACTAAAATATACTTTATATTATTATATTTGCTTAATATAGCCTTGATTAACACATTATTTTAAATCAAAACATTTCTCCACAAGCTGTCCTGAGATTTCAGTGCTTTCTTTTGTTGCGAATATTTTTCGTTGTTTGAAAAATAATCACTGCATTAGAAGAATGCATATTGAGATATAACCAATAATATGGATTTAGGAGTGTGTTCATTTCACAGACTGGCTGTATTAAACTATATGTAGTTAATATCTCTAAGAGAGGAGAAAGGCAAAACAAGAAAAATGTGGAAATGCTTGGTGGACAGAAAGCCATGACCATCTATCAGCTGTAATTCTCACAAGTAACAACGAAAATCTGTAACTTCATTCATATTACACATACTTACACTCACAATTCCACTGAGATCAATGGAAGTGAAGGGTCACCTGCCTACATTAAGGGTATTAGATTTTTAAGCCCCTGGAGGCAACTGAACTGGAATTAACTATTTTGCTGGTTGTTTGCATGTTTTACAACTATGTTCAATATACCTGATTTCTTATTTTTAATTCTATAAAATTTGTTGTGAGTGGTAGTATGTAGACCACCAGAAAGACATTTACTGCTACCAGTAAATGCCTTTAAAAGTCATTGAAGTATTTTATTTTTTTTCCTTCAGTATCAAACATTTTATAAAGTTAATACAACATTCAAATTGACATGGCTGTTATGTAAGATTCATCTATTCTATAAATGCAGTGCAATGTCACTGAATTCAATAATTCTTTATTGCATTCACAGATTTCTAATGGATTTCATCAGATTGATTAATGTACTAGCAGTTTTAAAATTTATATTTAATAAACATAAGTTAAGATTGTCAACATTTTAGAAGTGAGTAGTTCTTGAAGTTAAGAAGCTATGGTGATAAACTCCGGATGACAAACTCACCCAAATAAATCAAAGAGGCAATCTAGTATCTGTTCAAGTATATTGTTCAAATTGGTCATATTCTGTCACATAACTCATCTAAAAATCATTTTTGTGATTCTAAAATTGTACCTTGCTCTGAAGTTGCGTTAATTCTTTTGCAAATACACTGTCAATTGTGGCTGGCATCTGCTGATAAAGAGAGTTGGAAAGGTCTTTCTTAGCAGCCCCTTTATACTTCACCTAGAGAGGAGAAAAAGGTGACATATAATGCAAAAATTGAAGTACAGTAATCATACTACCTATTTTTTCTATTAAATAAAATGGCATAAACCACTAGACCTGGAAAAATCCAATGCTGTCATAAACTTCCAAGCAAAAGTAGATCTTTAAATAACAACTTTAAAATACTTTAGGTGGATGTGTCTAATTCATGAGGCAATGCAAAGTATCTCCTAATTAAATTCCGTAATTTTGGGGAAAGTATAAAATAAGGTAAGCAAGGCCATTATTTTTCTGTTCTTCTTCAAATCATTTCCAAAAACCAAAATTATCTTTTTTCTTTCCATTTTCCCAAGTTTTGCACAACAGGAGCAATGAGAGGACAACAAAAAGTACTTTATTGATTAGTAAGTAGTAGCAATTAAATGCAACTGTAAATGACATGAACATTGAAGTTAGCATGTCTGCCATCATTTCTACCTAATCCTTTCATATTACAGACTCATTTTTAAACTACTTTTTATTTATCCTGTATTTTCTTCAGTGTTCAGAACTAGCAATTCCTCACAAAAGGGTTTTATGAGACAGGCCAGATTAATAGTCCAAAATCTGGGAGGCTTTTGCCCCAGATTCAAGTTTTTCAAATTCATAAAACAATAATGTCAACTCTTGCTGTGAAAGTAATCATAAATATCAAAGATATCTTAAATGATACTGTCTAATGTCATTAATTTACTGTGCAATCTACAGCTGTTCATTAGAGACTAGTTCCCCATATACATTACATATATCAATAATTTGCTGTAATGTTCGTTGCTGTTTCCCAAAACAGAGGCCTCTTTTTCACTGCAGCAGACATGCTGTTAAGAATTTCAGTGTTCAAGTTTTGCAAAAACAGGTTATGGGACACTAGAGGTCAGTAATTTACAAGATAAACCATCCATCACATCATTGGCTTCAGGTAATGCTGCAATAAGCAAAGGTGTGCTCAGCAGTGCAATAACATAAAAAATACAGGGTTCAAAATTTTGAAACATCTTTATATCTCTAAATCTTTGACTAATAATTAGCAGCTTTTCTTTGGAATCAGACAGATGGATTCGATAAATACTCTCTCTGTATTGTGCTTTTGTAGGCTACAATAGTCTGTCTCAGAAAGTATAATTTCACCATATTATGCCCTTTGGGACATACCACTCTTTCTCAGAAGATATGAAGATAAATATAACAAAAATATTCATCAGATGCATTTATACTGAATGTAGCCACACAGAAAATTGATGTGTATCAGAAACAGAATATAGAATGTACATAAATTACAGAACTCGAGACCGGCATATCGGGACATTCTTTATCATAATCATAGAGGTAGCACAAAAAATGAGGCACCAAAAATTTAAGTCTTCCAAGGGTCACAGAGACAGAAAAATCACTCAGAACCAGCAGTTCCTTAACAAAAGCAACTCTCTGTCAAGCAAAACTCCTGCTACTGTTCTCACCTGTGGAAAATAATCAGAGAGGCTATCCTACAACACCTTGTACCTGGGACATGACGAGCTGGCAGTAAACTCTGCTCTGGCATTTTGGAAGCTGCCATTTTTTCTTTGCCACTACAGATGTGTGTGTCTGTGTGTATGCGAAGACCATAAAATGGGATAGCTAGAACTGCCTCAGAACCATTAATAAAATATCTTGGAATCCCAAAACAAAAGCGTTGCATAATTCCAATTAGTACTCACATATACAGCATACACTAATTACAGCGCTTTAAGTCACCTCAGCTTTCAACAGAATTGTTATTTGAAATAAGCCATCCTTCCCCTGCTAAAAACCACCATATTCAATTGAGAGAGTTTTTAGGAAGGATAAGAAGCAAAGCAAATTCTTCAGTCTTTAAGGTCTTACCTCGGAAATAAAAGCACCAAGACTTTTAACATGTTTTAGCTGCGGGGTGTCAGGTATAAATATGCACTTGCCTTTAGATTTTTTAAACTCTTCTTTATAGTGTATCTAAAAGAAGAGAAAAAAGAAGTTTAATTTTCTTTAAAAAAAAAAAAAAAAACAGAAAAATAAATAATGGCTCTTTTTATTTTATTATTATTTTATTTATGGACGCTATGCTGGTTGGTTTACAAATACCTCAGGCTGGATCAAATTAAGCCATAAAGGGAAACACCCAGTTCTCAAACACAGTAACAGGGCTATGTAAAAGTCACAGAACTCTTTAATAATAAAAATGAAAAAGATACGATTTTTCTCTACATCTACAGCACATTTTCACCACTGTTGTAGATGTTCTAGTATCTCTAAAGAAAGGAGAATTGAACAATTTATCTCCTTGATCCTTTGTTAATAAATTGTTAAACTAACTTCTAACACAGACATAGCAAGCATAGATTCTGTGTAACATAATCAAATGCCCCTTTATGAATCCAAGAGTTACACGAATAAATTCAGAAGGCCACTGCCAAATCATTGCCTACACAGCACACCAACAGTTATGACAGGCAAGTAATAACAGAATTTCTTTAAGAGCAAATAAATTTTAAATTGAGCCATTTCTTAAATTATGTGTATGCACAAAGGAAACCATTTTTGAAGCAAAACACCAAGACATACTTTAAAAAAAAAAAAAAAAAAAAAACAAAACTACAAGCTTTTGTGGGGTTTTTTGTTTGTTTGTTTTTTTAAACAATCAACCTTTTTCTTACCATGTGGCAAACAATATGGGCAGGTATAATAATCACAGGACTGTTGATGAAGTCAGAGTGATGGTGAATGTGTAGGGACCTTTATTATGTAAGAACTGCATGAAGAAAGATAGTGAATTATGATGAGATGGACAAAGTAAGTTTTAAAGATAGACAATTTACATGGATAGACTTAAAGGTTTCTAGTGACATTTCTTTCTTTGTACATAGACCAGTTTAGTTCAATCCAAATTGAATATTTAGTATTAAGCTCTCATGGTTATTATCTGCTACCATTTCTCTAACGTCATTTTCACATTCTGCACAACAGCAGCTTGCATTTATGCACTCTAGACCTGCTGACAAGCACTGACAGAAGCAATATGATCTGCATCTGAGCATTACAGAAATATGCAGTCTTAATTTCCTCTTTCTCTGAATCCTTAATGTATATATCACAAGTTCTAGTCTACGCTTCTCTATAGGGACCTGGTAAATTCATGAGAAGGATGGCAGCTTACACAGAATCAGCTCCTGTACATTCTCATGCAAATTTTTTGTCCGCTGCAAAATGGATTAGCAAATGCCAAATTCATCTCAAACTGATGACTACAAAATCCTCACACAACAAATTATTTTGGTTATTATTGAGCTCATCCACTTTTGGACTACTGAAGGGATCTACATCTCATTACCAAATCATGTTGTCTGCGTTTGTGGATTACAATCTATTCTAAATAAAAACTGGTGAAGAACGGGTGTAAAATTACTGTGTGCTGTGATTTTACTCGGGAACCTACAAATCCCATGGTTCATGTAACCTGTGTGTGACACTGTACTCCTAGGTAACCACAGAGCAATACACAAAGAGGGTAGTTTTATGATAAACATGAGCAGGCACTTACTGTTGAACCTGTACAAATGCATTCATGTACTTCCATGTATGTGCACATGAACAGCTTGAAAAAAAAGTCTTCATAGAATTATGTTATGTTTAACGGTCTCAAGTTGCACCAGGGGAGATTCAGACTGGATATTAGGAAGAACTTCTTCACTGTAAGAGTCGTTAGGCACTGGAACGGGCTCCCCAGGGAGGTGGGGGAGGCACTATCCCCGGAGCTGTTCAAAAAATGTTTAGATGTGGCGCTTCAGGACATGGTTTAGTGGGTTTAGTGGGCATGTCAGCATCGGGTATACGGTTGGAGTTGACGATCTTTGAGGTCTCTTCCAACCATAATGATTCTATGTTCATTCACAGTGATACAGCTGACAAGGTACACGGGAAATCTACAGAGCCGACTGTCTACTGGTTAGGTTTGATGGCGCTCCCACTAGAAACTCTGTAAACCTGAGGCTCTGGTAGAGGAGATGGAGAGTCTTGCTGCTCACAACTTCGATAAATTACCCACAGACATCTGAGAGCTGACTGTAATTACATCCATTTTAATTACAGAGTAATAATTACATTCAAAAATCAAACATGAAAGCTTCCTAAGGTATCTCTTAATTGGAGGGGGGATGACACGACACAACTAAAAGAAACAATCAAAGCTATTCTGCTGTAGAAGTCATACTTTCAAAACAACCAAAAGCAGTAATGGACCAATGCCACCTCCTTACTCCTTTATTATTGACATTATAGTAACCCATAGAGGCCACAAAATGCACGCAGGCTCAAATGAGCAATTTAGACAGGATATATCACAAAATGTGTGGTCAAACTCTGATCCAACACACTCCATTCTGCTACAGAAGTGTCTGCATCACTTAGAATCAGAAAGATGGAAGATGAAATGGGACAAGTATAATGAAGTCATGACATCTGCAGTCAAAATGCATATTTATTGTAAATGATGTAAGCAAGAGGTTTAAGAGGTTGGGTATGACTGAACATAACCAATGGCTGGAAGGAAAAGGCAGAGAAGCTAATAGTCCTTTTCAAAGTTTGGGGTTACAAAAATTCATAGAATCATAGAATGGTTTGGGTTGGAAGGGACCTTGATGATCATCCAGTGCCAACTTCCCTGCCATATGCAGGGACACCTACCGCCAGACCAGGTTGCTCAAAGCCCCATCCAGACTGGCCTTGGACACCTCCAGGGAAGGGGCATTTACTGCTTCTCTGGGCATCCTGTTCCAGTGCCTCACCACCCTCACAGTGAAGGATTTCTTCCTAATATCTAATCTAAATCTTCCCTCTTCCAGTTTAAAGCCATTACCCTTTGTCCTGTCACTACACGTCCTTGTAAAAAGTCCCTCCCCAGATTTCCCGTAGGATCCCTTTAGGTACTGGAGGCCTGCTCTAAGGTCTCCCCCTCTCTCTCTTCTCCAGGCTGAACAACCCCAGCTCTCTCAGCCTGTCTTCACAGGAGAGGTGCCCCAGCTCTCTGATCATCTTCACAGCCCTCCTCTGGACTCCCTCCAACAGGTCCATGTCCTTCTTATGTTGGAGGCCCCAGAGCTAAACACAACTAAAATACTGAATAGGAAATTTTGCCTGCAAGTGACTTACCCTTTACCACAAAACACTCTGTTTAGGTTGAGTAGATCTGGTAAGTCTTGTAAATAAAACAAATAATAGGAAAAATTTGCAAATGATGGCCTGGAGCCACCACTGCTCTTTTGATATACTTTTGAAGTCCAATAGCTCACTAAAGGCACCATTTTTAACAGCTCTCTCCCGATGCCTTCCTTTTCCCTGACTCATCATAAAACTACCCTGACCAGCAGCAAAGCTACCCAGTAAAAGTGGATTAAAATTCCTAGACAATCACCAAAACAGTAAGCTTTAAATTGGATTTTTTTCTTAATGGATGTTATATGGCAAGATCAACTTTATAAAACAAGGCTCTGATGTTAACAGCTTAATCGAAGCACCTATCTTTCTTTTGCATTCAGGGGCACACATTAATCGAACCTTAGTATGAATATACTCAAAAAACTGTCCTTAATATTTTAAAATCAATGGGGTAACCATGTTGACAATTATCATGCCAAGACCCATTATAGAACCGTTATCTCTCAAGGATCCATTTAAGCTTAGAAAAGCCACAAAAAGGTCTGAACCTTCCTATTTAGCTCTTATGCTAGACCAAAAGGGAACTTTTTTCCACTAAGGATTCCCTTTCCAACCCTACGTTTCTTAATTTATAATCTCTCATAAGGCTAAGAGCTGCCTCAGACCACAGATCCATCTAATACAAAATCATCTCTCTGTGGCCACAGAAATCTAGAGGAAAGCATGAGAACAGGGCAAGCATACAGTAGTATTGCCCCATGGTATTTTACTAGCCTCCAGCAATTTGGACCTGAGAGTCCTCCTGAGTTAGAGTCTGTGACTAGCAGTGGTGAGTCCAGGGGAACAGCTCCAGCCTGAATTAGGTGGTCACAACCCTATTGGTATGAGTGGAAAGGCACTTTCTGCACTTGACTCTAGGTCTCTTCGGCCCTTACTTTATAACAAAGACACATGCTGAAGCAACGTTGGACTCCGTACAAGGATAGTTAAATGGCAAGTAGTACTACTTTTTGCTATAGGGAATAAGCAGCACCGGTACCTTACATTAACAAAATTCAGCAGAATCTTCAGAAGGCAGTGTCTGCCTCTATCAAAAGGGATTATGACAGTTTGGTCAATGATCATTTTACTCGTATAATAATTCCCCTGTCTGCTTATAACGGTATTCACAACATCACACCACACAATCAAAACAAAGAAGAGATGAAAATAAACCAAAACCTAAGTAATACAAGCAAATGGACAGGCTCAATTTCAATATGGAAGAGAAAAGGCCTGGAAAGGAAGGTAATTCATATAAATCAAACACACATGACAGTTTTGAAAACATCTGTGGAACAAAATTGCTTAATGGAGAGAGATTAAACGAAATGGCTTTAGGGAGAAACAATCCAGGGGGTATCACTGCCACAGAATAAACATCTGCCAACCTCAAATGAAAACGGCGATTTCCTCAAGAACCGGAGCACATAAACACTTCACAACTTCCCCTATGTACAGTTCAAGGCTGACAGTTATGCATTCACTAAGGGCTGCCGTCGTAACACTTTTTAAAAACTATATCGCCAAATGAAAGTCATCCTGCAAAGAATGCAGGGTAAGTATAATGCAACCCCAGTATCTCAGTCATGAGCACTCCTGGCAGAGCGTTCTGATGGAGGAGCTGTGCTGACAGCTCTACCAGCAGAAAAGGACAATCACCCAGTCTCGTGGTCAGCAAGGACACAGGCTGCTGTCCCAAGGTCATCTTAGGGCCAAACTGCAAGCCCCATAAAAATCATTGTACACATAAAATGTGCAGATGTACACCAATGATACAGCCACACAAACACCAGTTTGCGCAAAGATTCATGCTAAAAAGGATAAGGAATATATAAAAAGTTCTGAACGTTAATGAGTCAAAAATCAAAGGCAAGAATTAAAACTCCTTGCAGTTTATTGTCCCCCACAATGAAGTGTGCAAGGTGAGGAACTTACCCTCTAGCACAAAGGACTTCACTGGTCATACGAAATTCCAGTTATAGCAAAAATTCTGGGAAATAAAATTCACTCCCTATACATATGTGTATTCCATTCAAGTCAATGAAGAAACACCTACTGATTTCAGAAGAGGCTGAATAAGGCCCCAAAACTGGATGCTGTTTTTAAACACAGAGTTTCTTTGAAATTAAATTGGTCTGGACCATTACGTACTGCTACTGCTTTGAAAGCATTAATGACACTTTGCCATTATGCTTTACATATCTCAAGAAAAATCTAACACGCTTGCAGGGTAAATGTATCACAAGTTTTCAGCAAAACCCACATCCCTGAATCATTATAGGCTTCAGAAACCTGGACTAACTTAGTTATTCACCTTAGCTCCCAAGCCCCTGCAGAAAATCAGAGAAAATACAGCCACTCCATTTATCAGTTAATTAACAGCCACAGCCAACATTACTCCTAATGGATACACAGCACAGTAATAATTCCTTTTCAATTAAAGAAAATATTTCTTCAGCATTTTTCAAGGAGGTTTTGCCTTTAAGAACAGCAACCATGTTTAGAAACAAGTTGCATAGAAGTAATAAATGTATTTTGGGTCAGATAAGTGCTCCAGGTCCATTTTCATTTTGGCCTTTACATGAGCTGACAGGCAGTTATTGTACCATATGCCAATCTTTTCCCAGAGAAAGCATGTAGATAACCATCAGTAAAATATTACTAATCTTTACTACTTCCAAAAGTAGCTGGAGATTACAAGGGAATCATTTTGGTAGCTTCTCTTAGGGATCTACCCAATTTTTAGCAGTCCTTCTGTGAAAATTAAAGTATTACCAGGTGGTGTATGGACAAAGAGGAAACTTTGACCTTGTCTAGTCACACTTTCAAGCCAGCACTGTAACACCCACACATCCCAGATACTGCTTCTCTATCTATTCCTTTCTGATACATAACCCCTAATAATTTATACCTTAAATGTGGATTCTGTATGTTCTATTCTCATAAAATCAACATACTCATTCACCTTGAACAATAGCATCCTGAATCTAAATATCAGATTACAACACAACATGAGCCAGACATAATTTTTCAGTTTCTTTAGAAGAACACTTGTTAAAGCAAGTCACTCTCTTGTCAGTAATGGCTCCTCTCCTGCCAGCCACCATCCTCACAGGAGAAGTATCACATTTTACTCCCATTCACATGCAGGGACAAAGTTACTCTTCAGACACACTTTCCCAGAGGGACACAGAAATAAACTTCCACCAAGGTAAATCTGATGCTGTTACATTGAAGCAACTGGATCTACTCCAATTTAAAATGTCTTGGATCCGATCTATGATGTTTATATAATGTCTATATCTGATCGACAGTTTTAAAAATCTATAGTAACTAAGTCAAGAATCTGCTAGCTAAGTAAGTTTTAAAGATATTCTAGCATTTCAGTGTATTCTTCCTATAAGTCAATAATAACATGCTAAGCAGTTCTGAGCATCTGTCTCCACAGACCAATAGATAACTCTCAAAATTCATCTGTTTGTTTTATTTTTACCCTCCCTCCTTACACCTATGTATATTGGCACCCAGTTCTGTTCTAATCAATCAAACTTCATAGGACTAGGCTATAACTAGAAAAAATACTGCATTTTCCTGACAAAATCAGTCAAGGTGTTCTCATGGGTGACACCCTCTGCATGAAACCCATTTTTTGGAACATTCTCCTTCCTAGGGCCTATGCTTCACGCTGTCCAAGTGCTCTGAAAAGCTCATCCTTCTGCGGTTGATAATTTAAGGTATCAGAGTAGGTTGTGCTTTTCTATTATTTTGTGTGCTTTTATATTTGAGCCTTGGATGGGCACATGCTGCACTGCACATATCTGAAAAAATATATATTGTAAATACAAACCCACTTGAAAAGAGAAATGCAAATGGAAGGACGTAAACAGTCACCATCGCTTACATCACTTATGATTTCACTGCATTTTCGGGCCAGTTCCATGTTTCTGTCCTCAATAACAGGCTTGAGGAAGACCTATAAGAGAGAGGTAATCATTCCAGGTTTATTGTCCTAAAAGGGTAACAATAGGCAGAAATAAGTACTTTTCAAAGATATTGGGGTTTAACTCACCTTTTCTTCTTCTTCCTCATCCTCATTTTCATCCTCCCTGAGATCCTGAATGACAGATACTCGCATCTTAATACTTTGCAGAAAACAACAATGAAAACTCTAAAAAGGATCGGCACTGTAGGAAACAGCTCAGACCCTACAGCATGCCTGGAATCAATGCTTCATTTGTGCCCTCCACTGCACTTAACTCTACCAAGGCTCATTCCTTATTTAGGCAGCACTTGACAGTCTTTATCTGAACAATTCAGTGTGAGTGAACTGAAAGGCATTGCAGATAGCCTTGCTAGCTATCAGTCGCAGCAGAGCTAATGCTTTCTTGCAGATAAAATATAATTAAATGACCTATCCCAGTCAACTATTTTTAAAATTACTATGAACACACAATTAAAACACTGTGATGCAGTTAATTCATAACATAAGTAATTTAGTAAAATTAACAGGCTTAAAAAGGGAACATTGACCCTAAGTTTATGGGAAAACTGCCCAGTTCTAAGATGCAAGGCATTAACGACTTCAAAACCAGTTATTACAAAACTTTATTTTGTTGATTCAATAATAGATCTTTTTGATTAAAAAAGCACATTATTCTCATTTTCCAGTAGATGTAACTGCTAGTATATTTTTCAGGAAATACTCCTTTTCCACAGAGCTTATAAAATTCCTTAAATGTTTTCCATATCATGTCAGCTGCAGGTTAAACCTGTGCACACATAGATACAAACAAGTCAGTACATTTACAAGTATACACGGCTATGTATCTACACAAACATGTATGTTCTTTCACTGTTAAAAACTGTCATGGTCTGCAGTCTCAAAACCAATCTTTTTCAGTATGAAGTCACTGACTCCAGTTGCAATGAAACTGAAAGATATCCTTACGTCGATAGATATAGTGCCACTTGCTTCTGTAAAACAAGCAAGTAGGTATTACAGGACCAGTTGAAGTAACCAGCATTTTAACATTATTTTTCTTTCCAAACTGTAGCGTGTGTACTACTTACTTTATAGAGGTCATGATTCTGAACTTCATCTAGCAAAGCAATTCACCACTATACAGCTTTGCAATCAGGCAAAGATATGAGGAATGTGTGCTCTTAAAAAACCTCTTCAAAGAATTTTAAGTACTTGTGTCCAAACGCAATGTCCTTAGAGCTTATTTAAAAACACACACTTCCTTAGAAAAATAAACATTTCAAAGAGGAAAAATACAGCGTTTGTATGCATACAGGAAACGGCAAAATTAGAATTTATTATTGCATTATAGATATCTTAATATGCACACAAAAGGGAGAAATGGATTCTTCAGGGAAGTACCCAATATGAACTCATTCAAATTTTGTAAGGGAATGCTGCATAGCTCCACATTTCCACTTCCAGTCACCCTGCATGGACATTTCACATCTCTGTTCAAATTTAGCCTTAAGAATGAGGCTATTTTGTTGAAGAAGCTACAACAAAATCAAAACAACTGTACATTGTCTAGATTGTTCACAGAAGCACTGTATTTGCAGTACACAACCTTCACTGTGTATGAACTTTTGATAGAAAAGACAAGCCTTCTAGAAGCAAACTATGTGCTTTAACCTATGAAAGGAGAAAGCTGAATCTCCCAACACTTAAAGCCATCATTTGATTGGATCAATGTACTATTTTTTGACACAGGACATTACTTAAGTACTTGGTCTAAATGCATATCTGCTGAGGAGGCAGAAGAGGAAGAAACACAGGGTATAAAGGAGCCTAAGTCCCCATGTGTACAAGCTGGACCAACATGTGAATGGTTCAAGCGCGGCGTTGTGCAGCTTTCCTGCTTTGATCACACACAGCTATGTCCACAATCTGGCCAAAACCCCACCATCTCCTTGTCCCTTTTATCACTCTTAAGAAATACATTTGGGAGATGCTATCCCAGAAAGTTAAAGGGCTTCATCTCATTTTGGGACCATTAATACATAACAATTCAGCAGTGACGCTCAGTTCTGTCACTGAACAAACAGTACCACTGGACTTTTTTGGTATAATCCCCAAAAGCCTTCTGAGATCTGCAATATCCACATGTACTGCTCAGCTGAAAGAATCTCTTTACCACTTCACAGAACAGTAGAAACTGTGCTTGTCCTGGAAAAGGTACTAGAAACGTCACAATCTCAAATCTATTTAATACAGAGCTCTTCACGGGGTACTTGAACATAGATTGTAAGTTAAAGACCGAGGTATTTCAGCTGATAAATCTGCTGAATATACTCCTTTCAATTCTGGACTGAAAACCTAGTAAAAACAGAGGTAGAGTTTTAGTGCTTTAAATATCCTGCTTCTAATGAGTTAAAAATCAACCCACAGACAGCCCTGAAATGAAAACGTTATTTTCTGTTCTCACTGGACAGACACACACATCACTGACATAAGTACAATTAATTCAACACGACACAGCTGGTGGTCTCTTTTCAAAAAGAACACAAGGCATTTGTAAGAGTTGAGATTCAATTACTTCTCATTTCTAGAAATACTCATCTATCAGACTGGAAGTTACTCGCAGCCTGCATAAGGAAGTTCATAGTTAGGCTATCAGCACCACAATCACAAACAGAAAGCAAGCAAGGGATCCCAGCCTGCCAATTTTAACCTCCTCTGAACATGAAATAACAATTAACATTAACAAAAGAAATTCAAGAGATGGTTCTATTTAGAGAAAAACTTACTCATAAGCTTGTATCCATCAGATCATTAGCAGTGCATTTATCAACAACACTTCAAAACCTGCAAATAACTCATGATTCTAAGCTGAGATTTTCATTCAATGAAAGTTATTTTATTTAAGGTTTTGGTAAAGCAGAGAGTGGCAATGGTATTTTTACAGATAAATACAAACAAGATGTTAGAATACTGACTTGTGAATCCCAGAAAACCTAATGAATTTTCAACGCCTAATAAATACATAAATATAGACATTTTTTGCAAACACATAACCACGGAGACATTGTCTAGTCCAACTGAATCTTGACGACAGAGCATTTAAGGTGTCTGTATGGTACAACTAGTTTCACATAAAAATATCCAATCTAATCTAGTTACCAGAAGTAGTGTAGCTATGCTAGCATGACACTGCCTGAGTTAATAAACTTTCCCACACAGCTAATTATCCTGAGAAATGAACCCATTCAGAAGTAGTAGTATTTATCAGGGCACAAGATTGTGTCATGTGGATGTAACCTCAGCTGTGATCAGCAACAATATATTGAAATAAACCAGCATAAAGCTTTTTCAGATACTAATATATTCTAAAAAAAAAACAAAACCTCAGCTTTATTTTTTCTGACAATATTTATAATTGCCTACTACATTTGCACAAGTTTTTAACACTCAAAGATGGTATTTCCTAAATGGTATATACAGTTTCACTTATTTTTTTCCTGATTTTTCATTTGTCAAGAAATTAAATCCTCAACAAGGGCGGAATTTGGTGTTTCCACCCCCTCCAGTATTTTCAGTTTAATCAGAAGCTTGAAAAAAATCTATCGCTCCTATAGCACTCTTCACAAGTTGATGCATCAGGAGCTGAGATACCACGTTTGACTGCATCGCAACTGTTTAATCCACTCTACCTGACATAGCTGTGGCATTTCCCTTTCTTGTCAAGTGTCATAACATCCCCTTCCCCTTACTCAAGTGTCCAACTAGGTATGGAAGTCCACCAGAGCTAAAAGCCCTGGGGCATAGCAGCTGAGGTTCTTCAGCACTCCCCAACTCTTATTAGTGCCATTGTAACAATGAATAGTCAAAATATTTGTCCCTAGTACCTACAAAACTGGAGCCCTGGTGCTAGGCCTGTATGCTAGTAGTCAAGAGACTTGCACACTAGTCCGCTGTAGCCGGTGCAGAGCAGTACACATCCAAGCTATCCTTCTGCCCTGTAACTTGTGGTTCATATTTCATAAGGCTGTTCTACAGAAGATGGTTAGAAAATGAAATTATCAGCTGACTGGGTTACTGTGTGAGGTATCCATAAAAGCAAAATCACATTCAGCAGAAGAGAGATTCATTAGGGAAATTACAGCTTTTGTCTTAGGACTCCTCAAATGTAGAAAAGTTTAGATAATAGGTCAAAGTTTTCCATTCACAAAATTTTCATTTTATCCAAAACTAAATCCTATGAAAGAGCGAGTCAGGACTATATAATAAGAATTTGGAAATTTTACCTTGCTATAAATCACAGCTAAAATTATCAATGATTGTAGGTAAAAGGTACGAAGCCAGTAATAAAGAAGTTTTACTTTGCCTCAATAAATCCTAAAAGGCTACAGATACTACTCCCTTTCTCCTTTCAGTGACTGTATATTCATATACAGCTTACTGTAATCTGAAATAATAGAAAAATATATTTGTCTTATATACAGATTCTTGCACACATTTTCTTAGTCATATAGACTGGGCATGTTTACTTGCCAGGAATTTTTCTTGTGGCATTACTTCAAATTCAACTGCCTGAACAGATAGATTCTCCCAGAGCAGGAAGAGAAAATTGGACCTTTCCTACAAATTTAATTTCAGTTGTGATTACTTCCACCAGCCTATAACCCCCACCTACTTAATGAATGCATTTTTCTAGAAACTAAACCCACAGTGGTTTATTTTACTTGTATTTAATTGAGTTTTTTCTTAATATTGCTACACTTCTTGTGTTTTGATAGACCTGATACTGTAACTTTGGTTGTACTCTCTCTGGAGGGAACAGTACCATAAGTAACACACACCTTTAAAAAAATCTTTATACCTTTATTTGTTCTGGAACATTTCACATTTACTATGATTCTCAAGTAAGTTAAATTTTGCATCAATTTGCAAAAACTAAGTTCTTCATTGACAGTTATTTAAAATCATAGCTGCTACATTTTAGAATAGTCTTCAGAAAACTCCCCAAAACAGAAAAGATGAAACCAAACAGGCCAGGATAAAAAATGAAATTTAATGAACACATTTGAAGTAATAGAAGTCACTTGTTCAATGATGAAAAATTTATTCAAGTAACTTCATTTTTTGATCAAGACAAATAATTTGAAGTCATAAAT